AAGGCACACCTTAGTCTTTAAACTGACATTATTACTCTTTAGTTCTCCAGAGATGTCCTTGACAGATTTCCCAATGCGACATGTCTTTTGCTTTCATGACTGTTGGTATCAAAGGTGTAAGATGAGATAGTAGACTTCACTCTTGCATCATCTATCATGAAGTTGCCATTGGTCCATTGGTGAGAATTTTGTTTGCTTGATAGTAAGATGTAATCTATGTTGAAGGCTATCGTCCTTGATCTTCTGCAGCAAGTGCTTCAAGTCCTCCCCACTTTCAGTGAGCAAGGTTATACCATCTGCATATCATTGTTTGTTTATGAGTCTTCCTATGATCTTCATGATATATTCTCCTTTTTTTCTACATTCTCATTTTATTCGTTTCTCAAATTATTTGTTTATTGGATAAGTATGGAAAAAGGATACCACTCTGATTCACACCTTTTTCTTACTCTATACGGACAACAACCTAAGCTGTTTGGTCTAGGTACAGGTTTCGCTTGAGCACAATCAAGTGTTCTGGGATTTCCATTCTTCTCAATATTAGCCATAATTTTCCTGTGATCCATACAGTTAAATGCCTTAACATAATCAATAGGACACACATAGATTCCTTCTGGTATTCTCTGCTTTCAGCCAAGATCCATCTGTCATCAGTAATGAGAACTCAGACGCTAAGACCTCTTCTAAATCCAGCCTCAATTTCTGGCACTTCTATGTCAATATACTGTTCTAGCCATTTTTAAACAATCTTCAGCAAGATTTTGCTTGTTGTTTTGTTGTGTACCATTGAGATAGACCCCATAACTGACCATGAAGTGCACTACCTGGGAACATAAGGGTCTCCTCTCTGGAGCGTGGCAATCCCATCACTGAACTCACCATGTCAGATTGCTGTTGACAGGTGCTGTCAAGATTCCTACACCTACGTGCCAAAGAAGGAGACACTGCTCAGGCCTGTGACGTCCGCACGATCTATTATGGTTGAACCCACTCTGGGAGTCATTGTGCCAATGTATCTCATTGAGGGTCTTCCTTTCCTTCATTGAGTCCCTGCTGTACCATACATGATGTCCTTATCCAGAAACAGACCCCTCAAAAAAAACATGTCCAAAGTACAGTAGACCAAGTCGCACCAGCCTTACTGTCAAGGAACATTCTGACTGCACTTCTTGGAAGACGGATTTGTTCATTGTCCTGGCAGTCTGTTGCATACTGCCATAATTCCCAACAGCATAGCAGCAAGCTGTACAGAGCACGAGTTCAATAGGGAATTGTGTGTTTTCTGCAGCTGATTTTTCACTGCCTAATGAAGCTGGTGCAATTGATTTCTATTTCAGTATTGTCGTTGGTAGGTGCTGTTGAGTCAAGGACTCATAGCAATCCTATGACCAACAGATCTGAACCCTGTCTCATCCTGTGCTATCCTCATCATTTCTGAAATATTTGAGTCACTGTGTCAGTCCATCCGGTTGAGGGTCTTCCTCTCTTTCTCTGACCCTCCACTTTATTTAGTATGATGTCCCTCTGCAAGGAATCACCTTTCCTATCAACACGCCCAAAGTTTGTGAGACAAAGCTTCGCCATCCTTGCCTCCAAGGGGCACTTCTGGCTGCACCTTCTCTAAGGTTTGTTCTTTTGGCTGTCCATGAGATAGTCAACATTCTTCTCCAACATCACAGCTCAAAGACATCAATGATTCTTCTGTCATCCTTATTCATTGTTCATCTCTCAGATGCATAACAAGTGTTGAAAAGAACATGGCCTAAATCAGGTGCACTTTAGTCTTCAAAGTGACATCAATGCTCTTCAGTAATTTGGCAAAGTCCCTGACAGCAGACCAGCCCAGTGCAATACGTCCTCTGATCTCCTTACTGCTGGTGCGGAAAGTGTTGATCCTTAGTCTGGTGGAATTGCTTGTTATTGTTAGGTGTTCAAGCTGACCACTGCTCATAACGACCCCATGAACAACAGATCTAAACAACAGATACCCTGCCCTATCCTGTGCCATCCTCCCAGTCTCTGACATGCTCCCGCCCATTCCCAGCATGGTATCCTTTTTCCAAAGACTGGTCCCTCCAACAGCATGCTCAGAGTAAATGAGGTAACTTTTCACCATGCTTGCCTCTAATCTTGCTTGCACTTCCTCCAAGATAGATTTGTTTGTTCTGTTGGCATCCCATGGGACATTCAGAACTCCTCACCAATACCTCAGTTCAAAGGCATCAACTCTTCTTCAGTCTTTCTTATTCATTGTCCAAATTTCAGATGCATAAGAAGCAATTAAAAATATCAAGACTTGGCTTGGGCACACTTTAGTCTTTAAACCGACAACCTTGATCTTTAGAACTTTAGAAAGGTCTTTGAGAGCAGACTTTTTCCAATGCAACATGTCTTGATTTCTTGACTGCTGATATCATAGGTGTTGATTATAGATCCGAGCAAAATGAAATCGTTGACAACTTCAAACTTTTCTCCATCTATCATGATTACATCCATGGATCTGGGACAGAAAATTTTCATTTCCTTGACGGTGAGATGTCGCCCATTGCTGAAAGCTGTAGTCTTTGCTCTTCTGCAGTAAGTGCTTCAAGTCTTTTACACTTTCTGCAAACAAAGTTGTGCATCTGCATATTAGTTTTTTGATGGCTCTTCCTCCAATCCTGATTGCACATTCTTATAGCTCCGCTTCTCAAATTATTTGCTCAGCATAAAGACTAAGCAGATAATGAAGAAATAATACCACCCTGATGTACACTTTCCCAGATTTTAAACCATGCAGTGTTCTCTTGTTCTGTTTAGACAACTGTTACTATATAGGTTTCACATGAGCCTGATTAAGTTCTGGGATTTTCTCTTCTCAGTAGTAGCCATAATTTGTTATGATCCACACAGTCAAATGCCTTTGCATAGTCAATAAAACTCAGATAGACATCCTTCTGGTATTCTCTGCTTTCAGCCAATATTCATCTGACACCAGCAATGATACCCCTCATGCCGTCACCACTTCTGAATCCAGCTTGAATTTCTGGTCTGTCAGTGTACTGTCCCAATCACTTTTTAAGTAATCTTCAGCAATATTTTTCTTGCATGTGATGTTGATGATATTGTTTGATAACTCCCGTACTCTGCTGCATTGCTTTTTTGAAAACTGGATTAAATATGGATCTCTTTTAGCCAGCTGGTCTTCCAAATTATTAGCACAGACTAGTGAACACTCCCAAGGCTGCATCTGTTCGTTGAAACACCTCAACCAGTATCCATCATCTCCTGGGACCTTATTTTTGAAGACCAGTACCTTCAAAGTATTTTAAACTTCTTCCTTGGTTACCATTTGTTCTTGGTGATATTACTTCCTAAAATGGTTCTGAAAACCAATGTTTTTCCCACAATGACTCTGTGTTTTCCTTCCTTCTTCCCTTGATGCTTCCAGCATCATTCAAAGCTTTACCCTTGAGTATTGCAGCTTAAACCTTGAACTTGTTCTTTGGTTCTTTCTGCTTGAGAAACACTGAGTGTGTTTCCTCATTTGGTTTGCTCATTTTATTATCATATTTTGCTTTGTCTTTTTGAGCTCCCCTTTGCATTTTCTGTTCATCTCTTTTCCTTCAGCATTTCTTCCCTTTGCTTTGACATCTATACATTCTCATGCAGGTTTCAGAGTCTCTCCAGGAACCATCCATAAATTCACCTTTAAAACAGACTCTGTCTATTTAGATGCCGTAGGGAAGTGTTCTTTTCTTCTTTGACTTTTTTTGTTATTTACATATATAATTTTTTATTATTAATTTTCATGAAAGTTTACAGACTATGGGGTTCCATTCATTCATTGTTGTCCTTTTCTCCCTGCCCAACCTTCCCTGTTTTTTAAGATGAAAGAAAGATATTTGTATAAAGCAAACAGTGATCCTGACCTGCTTATACACTGGCGCACACGGCTTTCTGGCGTGACAACTGTACCTTGTGTTTAGGTAATGCACCCAACATCCTGCCAGTTCTCTCCTTTGATCTCACAGAGACAGGTGGGCAGAAATAACAGAAGAGCCAGCCTGTTCAATGATACTTGTTACGTGTCAGTCACACAATAAAACCAAACCAAACCTGTTGCTAAGAGTTGATCCCGGCTCACAGGGACTCCATGCGTCACAAGGAGAACTATTCCATAAGATTTTCTTGGCCGAATCTTTAAAGACACAGATTGCCAGGCCTTTATTCCTAGGTGCCATTGTGTGGGTTTGAACCACCAACTTTTCATATTTGAGCACAACCACCTATGCCATCCAGAGACCTTATGTCACGTCTCTATTACAGCATTCAGTCTTCAGAGGTATGATTACTGTGACCAAGGTGCAGATGAGGAAAATGAAAGTCCAAAAGGAGAAGTGTCTGAGAGGCAGAGTGGACGTTCAAACCCACATCATCCGCATCAGTGTTGTTGTTGTTGTTGTTGTGTGCTGCTGAGTCAGTACTAACCCACAGCTGACCCTCTAGTGGGGTTTCAGAGACAGTATATCGCACAGAACTCTTCCCATGACCATCTTTCTTCTGCGGAGCAGCTGGTGGGTTTGAACTGCGTGCCTTCGGGATTGCAGCGCAGCTTCTAACCACTAGGCAGTAGCTGTCTTCTAAAGGGGCCACCAGCAGAGGAGGGGTCCTCTCTGAACTAGGACAGATGGGAGAGCCCCTGTCAGGTTGTACAACTCAAGGCAAGATGGCACCAGTGAGTTTTGTTGGCTCTTTGGACATATTGCCAAGAGAGGCCAGACCTCGGGGGAAATGTCATGTTTGGAAAGGGGAGGTGATAAAAAAGGAGAGGAAGACGCCCAAGGAGATAGTAGCACAGGGGCTACAACAGTGGTCTCGAACTCAGGGGAGACCGTGAGGACCGAGCAGCAACAGGCAAACTTTCTATCATGGGGTCAACTTGACAGCACCTCACAACAACAACAAACAAACGCCAAGTCCAAAGGGCTCAAAAGCAATGACCACTCCCCTTTTCTCACCTTTCAAGGGTTTTGAAAGACTGGATCATGTCCTTTGCATGTCCCCACAGGAAATACACCTGGACAGAAATAAAGAAAAAGAAGATGTATCAGTGGAACACTGCCATCCTCTGAGCATCCTTGAGAAGCTATCAGACATCAAAATGCATGTGAGAACCCACCGGGGACCTGGGTCACCTCCCAGCCCAAGCCCGCCAGAGGCTGACATAGCCAAAAAACCAAACCCATCTCCAGGGAATTCGTTCTGACCCATACTGATCCTAGAGGGTCTCCAAAGTGCTATATTTTTTTACTTTAAATTATGAATTGAGTGAAAGGGTGTTTTTTTTTTCAATCAGTCACACTTATTTTGTCTTATAACATTAACTAAATACTCACAGCATCTGATCACATGCTGATTCTGTGTATAGAAAGGCTAGCTATGCATTTTGACAGCAGACTGTCTCAGATCTCTCCCCTGGAGCAGCTTGTGGATTCAAGCCACCAGTCTGTCCTTCAGCAACCCGACACTTTAATCACTGCACCTAAGGACTCTTTTTTAGATACAACCACAACTTGGGATGTTTTGAGTTTGAGTCTAGAATGCTGCACTACAGCAAGCGTCACAAAGAAGCCAGTCACAGGACGTTTGGGTTTTCCTTGTGTGTTGACGTTAGGTTGGCCCCGTTCAGTGGTCCATGAAGTGAGCAAGAACAGGGTGGAAAGTCTGAAGGATCATGAGAATTGCCAGAAGGTGGCACGGGGACACTAAGCACATGCTGTTGGGAAATGGAACTACTGGATAAAATGTTGGCACAAAGCTTCCATCTGTGAAGCTCACCATGTCTGTGAAACACAAGAAAGCAGGCCAGTCTGCCTCTATGAAGACCACAGTCTTGGAAGCATGATGACCATGGAGTTGGAAAGGGAGTGCTGGTGGTCTAGTCCTCATGCAACCCAGAGGCCACCAGCAGCTGCTCCAGAGAAGATGTGCAATCTCCTCCCTTGTGACTCAGAGCCTCAGAAATGCGCAGGAGGTCAGCTGGTCAGTGCCAACTCAAGGGCACTGTGCTGGACTGAATGAATCAGAATTGCCTCTACAGTTTGGGGCAATCTTCTCTGACTCTTTCGTGTTTGACAGCTGGACGATGAATAAGGATGACAGAAGAAGACATGACGTGCTGTGGTGGTGGAGAGGAGCACTGACTATCCCATGGACAGCCAAGAGAATGAACAGTTATGTCTGGAGAGGGTGCAGCCAGAGGGCTCTTTGGAGGCAAGAACGCAAAGCTGTGCCTCATATAGTTTGGACACATTGTTAGGAGAGGCTATTACTTGGAAAAAGATATCATGCTTGGAAAGGTGAAGGGTCAGTGGGAGAAAGGGAAGCCCTCAAGGAGATGGACTGATAGAGTAACCACAGCAACGGTCCAAGTGTGTCAGAGATGACGAGGATGGCACGGGGAGGACAGTGTTAAGGTCTGTTGTTCAAAGGGTCACCATGACTTGCATGTGACTTGACGGCCCCTAACAACAACAACATGTTACTCTTTTACATAGGCTGCCAAATTCTCTAGCGGCATAGTCCATTGCATGCTGGGCTGCTGACTGAAAGGTCAGTGGTTCTAGTCCATAGGAGAAATATTTGCAGTGTCAGAAGCCCAATGGAAGACAGAACAGACACAATGGGAGCAGGTTTGGTTTGGGGTGTGCACCAATACACTGAGTTGTACAAGCAGGAAATGCACTTGACTGCTCTTCTGAATGTTGGTGGTTCGAGCCCACCCAGAGACACCTCAAAAGAGAGACCTAGTTTCAAAAATCCAGCTCCCAAAAATTCAGCCATTGAAAACTCTACATTCTAGGACATTTGTAACAGACAAAATACATATAGGTTTTCACTTTGGGGTTTGTTTCTTTTTCTTTTTTCCCATTGTATGTTTCCTGCTTCTCATTCATCTTTTCTTTCCTTTGTATGATTAAAAAAGGTTTTCTGTTCCAGGCAAAAAGGTTTTCTCCTTTGAGAGGTGTTAATGTGTATTATTTTCTAAAAGAGGTAAGTGGTTGTCTGTGTGGTCATCTTCAAAGGAGATAGAATTGACAGGTTTGTAGGCTCCAAGTCTGAAACGACAGCAAATTATTTCAAGTATAAATTTTTCCAATCCCATGTAACATGCCTGTTGTTGAAAAGACTCCTCCAGCAATACCACAGAGTCAATCTTTTGTCTGTTACAAATGTCCTAGAAGAGATTATGCCTCTAATCAGTGACTAAGCCCAGCTAGAGTATTACTTTGAAGATGACCCTTCTGATAATTTTCACAGCAAATGGGCAGTATCCCAGCTCAGACCTGGTGACCAAAAGCCTGAAAAGAAAACATCAAACATCTCCAAAAAAAAGGCATTGTTAAGTGCAAATGTTTGTGCTCTTTTGTTTTTAAAAGATTTTATCAGAATAAAATATGGAAAACAGAAAAAAAAGAAAACTCTATGTTCTAAAGTCACAAGAGCTGGATGAACCCAAAATATTATTGTCCTGGGAAAATGGTTAAATCTGAACCCAAGCATCGCACTTAAAGTCTCCTGGGAACCACACAGCATGTTGGCGTGCCCCCGGAAAAGTGGCTGCCTGGGTTTTATGCTCACTGCAGATCCACATGGGACCAACTGAAGCAGCAATTCAAAGATCCAACAGGAAACCAGGGGTTGGTGCGTTTATGTCAACTGGAGAAGAGCTGCTCAGAAAAGGAGGCAAGAACGGTCTACAGTGTGAAAAAGTGATGCACGTCCCTGAAGCGTACGTGGATACACTGTCAGGCTGCTCGATGTTTTCCTGTGTATAGGTCTCTATAGCAACAAAAAGTGATAAATAGTGTTGTTGTGTGCCGTTGAGTCAGAACCGACCCATAGCTGACCCTCCAGCAGGTTTTCAGAGGCAGTGAATTGATGGGAGGAGACTTCCCATCCATCTCTCATGAAGCAGCTGGTGGATTCAAACCACCTACTGTGGGTTGGCAGCACAATTCCTTACCATTAGGCCACTGGAGCTCCCTATTAAAGAATAACTTTTTTTTCAAAATAATAATAGTAAAGAAAATCTAAGGAATATGGTTCTACTATGACACACACATGGTCTCCAAGGGTTGGAGTCAAGTCAACAGCAATTAGTGTGGTGGTATTCCCACCGCCATGATCATACGGCCCATGTCCATTGTGTATATGAGAAGTGATGATTAAAGAACTAGATTACTAAACAGAATGTCAGCAGTTCAAACCTACTTGCTGCTTCATAGAAGAAAGAGGAGGCAGTTTGCCTCCAGAATGATTTATAGCCTTGAAAAGAGTTCTGCCCTGTGCTATGGAATCCCTACAGGTCAGCATCATCATGACGGCACAGGGACCCTATTTGTACCAGAACAGAACTGTGCCCTGTGGGGTTTTCAGCGGCTGTGAGCTTTGGGCGGTGCCCCACCAGACCTTTCTTCCATCGCACTTCTGGGTGGATTTGAACCATTAGCTCTTGGTTCATAGTCAAGCACATAGCCATCTGGGTGACCCGGAGACTCTAACAGAAGCACCATAACAGGGCTGAGTGTGGCTCACCTGTAAGACGGTGTGCACGGCGTGGGTGACCGGGAAAACCCCTTCGGTGGCTGAGAGGCACTGCGAAAACCCAATGAAGTATCCAATTTTCAGGCATCCTAGGATGACGGTGATGACGGCAAACAGGGCGATGCTCCCTAAATTTGAGGGAAACACATGCACTCATGCCTGCATGTCTGCACACAAACGTGTGAACACGCAAGAGTGTCATTTCAAAATAAGTTGGTTAACACTTAATCACTTTAATCACTGGAAGGCAGGTACTGTGCCCTGTGTGATGCATTGCAACCAAACCAAGACTAACCTAGGGGTTGACGTGTGGCACACAGCAGGGGTGAGCCCCAGCAGAAGCTAATCAGCCCAGGTCAATCTGAGAGTGCCACTTTTGTTGTTGTTGTTAAGTGCCATCAAGTCACGTATGACTCATAGTGACCCTATAAACAGCCCTGTCCTATCCTGTGCCATCCTTCTTCTTTTGGGATGTTCAGTGCTCTTCTCCAACACCACAGCACAAGGGCATCAATTCTTCTTCTGTCATCCTTATTCACCGTCCAGGCCTCAGATGCATAGCAAGTGATCAGAAAGACCATGGCCTGAATCAGACACACTTTAGTCCTCAAACTGACATCATTACTCTTCAATAATTTGGAGAGGTCCCTAACTGCAGAGTTTCCCAGTGCAATACATCTAATTTCCTGACTGCTGGTACCAAGGATGTTAACTGTGGATCTAAGTAAGATGAAGTTGTTGACAGTTTCAATCTTTTCTCCATCCAACATGATGTTGTCTATCAGTCCAGTGATAAGAATTTTTGCTTTTTTGACATTGAGATGTAATCTATATTGAAGACTATATTCTTTGATCTTTAGCAACAAGTGCTTCAAATCTTGCTCACTTTCAGCAAGAAAGGTTGTGGCAACTGCATAATGTAAATGAGTCTTCCTCTGGTTTTGATGCCACATTCTTCTTCACAGAATCTAGTTTTTTGTTTTGGTTTTTTTATTATTAATTATTTTGGGTTTTTAAATTTTATTAATTTTAATAAACATTTACAGAGATTTTGGATTTCCATTCATTCATTGTTGCACTTTTCTCCCTGCTCAGGCCTCCCCACCGAGTCTAGTTTTTTTACTAATTTACACAGCATACAGATTGAATAGGTATGGAGACAGAATACAATATGTCCTGGAGAAAGTGCAACCAGAGTGTTCCTTGGAGGTAAAGGTGATAAAGCTTCATCTCACATACTCTGGGCATGTTGCTAGGAGGGACTGACTGTTCGTTGGAGATGGAGATGATGTGTGGAAAGGCAGAGAGTGGTGAAGGAGAGAAAGACCCGCAACCAGGTGGATTGACACAGTGACTGTCACAACGGGCTCTCATGTGTCAGGAAGTGTAAGGACGGCACAGGACAGGACAAGGTTCAGATTTGTTGTTTACAGAGTTACTTTAGGTCATATTCAACCCAGTGACACCTAACAACAACAAATCTACTTGAATCGATGTTGTTGTTGTTGTTGTTAGCTGCCATCGGGTATGACTCCTAGCCACCTCATAAACAGTGGATCCGAATCCTGTCCTATCTGTGACATCTCCATCATCTCTCCTACACTTGAGACCATTGTTAATTGTCATTGTGACAATTCATCTCGATGACCGTCTTCTTTTCTTTGACCGACCCTCCAGTTTTCCCAGCATCCTTCCCTCCTAAAACATGCCCAAAGGATATGAGACAGACTTTCACCATCCTTGCCTCCAAGGGGCACTCTGAATACACTTTTTCAAAGACATATTTGCTTGTTCATGTGACAGTCGATGAGACATTCAATACTCTTCTCCAGCACTACAACTCAAAGGTATCAGTTCTTGACAAGCTCTGGTGGCCTAGTGGCAAGAAGCTGCACTGGAGTCCCAGAAGTGCACAGTTCGAATCCACCTGATGCTCTGCTGAAGAAGGAGGGACAAGCTACTCCTGTACCAGTCAGATCTTATTTGATGGTTATTATTATTATTATGTGCCATCGA